TTACAGGACCAATCGCACCTTTGAGCTTTTCATAAAAGAGGTAGGATGTTTGCGTTTCATTTTTGCCATACAATCTAATCTTCATTGTCAATATCAATTTAAAAGTTGTATTTACACAATCTCAATGTGAAACTTTTAGATTTCGGATATCAAATAGGATATATATGTATAGTTAGTCGTTCACCTCTTCGAACAGAATAGACATGTTTGCTTTGTCAAGTCCTCACGTCTTCAACATATTTTTTATTACGTTATGTGACGCTTTGTCACGTCCATAGAGATCCGGAAGTTTTACAAGTCTATCCAAAGTTGTGACTTTGATCATTATGCCAAAACTTTTCAATTGGCTCAAAATCAGGCAAAAAGTTTGTTCGAAAGTACAGTTACAACCATTTCAAGAAACAATACTAAATTTGAGTTCAGCGTTCGCAAGTTTGCCGACAAACTCTTAAATTGCGTGCTTTCTAATCTCTGGTATAAATACCTGTTGTTGCAGACCCTTATACTATAAAGTCAAAGCACCTGTCTGGTCTTATAACGACTTCTGTCTTACTGAAATTGTTTTGGAGTCTAGAATTTAATGATAAATTGCGAGAGTCCGAAATGTTTACCATCGCCTCCATTATTCAATCATTTGCTTGAACTGAGAACTTTCAACGAATTACTTAAAGATTAAATTAATTAGAAGCTGTATAAAATCGATTCAATTTGAACTGAATAAAATATAAACTCAAATCAATACACACAAGAGCGGTAAATTTATTTTGTTCACTACAAATTAAAAGTCAATAAATGACTGTTACAACAAAAGAAAAATGTTTTTCAATTTAAAGATCCTCCAAATGTTTTAATTACTGAATGTGTTTTATTTGCCCATACAAATTTAAAATATATAATTGGAGTTTTTATAATACGTTTCTTTTATAGAATAGGAAAAGCAGATAAGAAAATACCCTTGAGTCTCACGTGGCAATATAACAGTACAACTTCGAAAATCGTTTTAACTTTCCGGATTGTTTTTCTTTGATATCTATTCATGCCACATATGGAAATAAATTAGTTGAGCTTTAATAACTTCTCAGCAAAAAATACATTCAAAGAACAACCCAACAAAACTTACTTTAAATTATTTTTGGGCGTCCACGTTGCCGTAAATTTCAGATAATTCAATTCGAACCAAACTCTGCGCCAGCAAAGGATTAACAGGACATGTTTACGTTTTTGTATCGCTTGAATCTTTTTATCTATTCCATTTGTACTATGTACTTAAAATGAGTATAAATTTACACTTTAATTGTCATTCCTAAGCTCTAATAAATATTAAGCATTTAATACACGCTCAAGTGATTAAAAAAGTAAAGCTGGAATCTAATAGAATTTCAAAAAAACTTTAACTTGAAACACGTAAAAAAAGTATTAAAAAAAATTATTTTACTCTGTTATTAGAGATTTTATCTTGCAATGTAGTAATATAAAACGCCACTGTATGATTTATTTATGTGTATTTATAAAATAGTCTCAGAAAACGTGTTAAAGTTCGTGTCAAATGTTGGAAAGAAATTACCGTCACATTTAGAATTTATATTTTGTTTTCATCATAAAGTTGAGTTTGAACAATCGTGACAAGTGCACACTATGACTTAAACTTCAAAAAGTTTGTGCTATAAATTTGTTATACAAAAGTTGATTTTAAGCAATATTTTCATATTTATTATGTAAATTCGAGATATTACTATGACACATTTATTTTAAAATGACAGGAAAACGGCGTTTTAAACGAACATGCAGGTAAACAAGGTAAGTATGATATTGCTGCTGTTGCCGGCTTGACATTGTTTTTTGAATGTTTTAATATTAATGGCACCTGTATTAAATTAATTTTTAAAAAAATATGAAATACTCATAGTTAATGAACATTGGTTTAGTTTATAATTGGAAGCAAAGATAATGAGTGTTACATATAAAATTCATTTTATTATTAAACTAATTAATTTCGAACATCCAAAATGATAGGAGTACAATGTTAATTAATGTTACAGAGTTTTGAAAACGGTCTGAAATTTGTTAAGAAAAAAGTAATTGAAACATTTTTTATGAATTTAAAGTGATGAAATGAAGTCGGTAATAAAGAAAGCACGCTTCTGTGTTAAGAATAGGAAGTAAATCTTGACAAACTAAAGTTGAAAACCGAAATCAAACGTTTTTCTTAGTTGAGTTAGAGAAAAAGTGATGCTGGAAGAATCGACGGAAAACAAAAAAGCTGTCTTGATCAAAAACATTCCCTTTTTCTTTGTTCTTTATCTAACATTGTTACGTAAGGTAAAAAACAAGCTAGATTAAAGATTTAGCCCTTTCACCTTGACTTGTAATTGATTCAGCTTTGATAAATCATTACAAACCTTCAGTCAAATAAAATTTTTATTAGTTAATAAAAATAAAAATATAAAAATTTTAAATTTTAAACCGAAAGTTTGTAATGATTTATCAAAGCTGAATTATATTTAATTAAATATTACCAAGTCATACATTTTTAACTGTGTTTTAAAATCTTTCCGTCAAATTCAATAGCTTCAATACATTTATATAGAGAATTCAAACATTCTCAATAAATTTCACTGTCCGTTCGGTTTACAAGTGAATAGAAAAGAAAATGAAAAATAAGACACGTTATAAGGATATCCAATCAAACATTTATTATATTTTAGACATTGATTGAAACGCTTAAGTTGCCTCAAACTATTTTTAATATAACGTTATTTGAAAATATCATCTTCCTGTTCAAAGAGCATGAAATTGTGCCATCAACATGTCTCCAACATAAGTAATTTCAACCGGAGACACTTTAAGCAATTCCATTACACAAATATATAATTACATACAAAACCGTTTTATTACAAAGTCAAATATAAATTAATTACAATCACGCGAAAAATTGAATTATCACTTTCACACATTAATAAACCACATAATAGAATATATGCAGTGCAGTTTAATTAAATATTATCTACATAGCGTGTTCAATACTAAAACGCTTATCGATTCGTGCTAAAAGTTAATAGAAATAAAAATTTTCTTTAAAATGTGCTCATTTTTTGCTAAAAGGATTTTAAAAGGGTTGAAATCAAAACTCATACCTGAAGAAGCGTTTTAAAGTTTCGTCATCACAATTGCGGCTTTTGGGCGTTGCTACGCTAGAAAAAAGGGAAATACAATTCTGTACTAGTTTATTTAAAACAAATGATATTTTTTTAGTGCAGCCTTCAGTAATAAATTAAAACAGGCGTCACAGAAACACAGTCTGAGTGTCATAACGAAGTCGATCAATGTGCTGAAAATTTTCCGATTGGCTTACCACATATAAATATTTCCTGGGACATGACTTGCAGCGATTTGACTAGAAAACTTAGGTTAAATTTCAGTTGTAGTAAATTCTCAAAGTATCTGATTGCGTGATATCCGCATGTAGTGCACTAACAGCAGGATAATTTGTGGTGCCAAAAATTGCTTAAGTTGTTGAAAAACCAACCTTTAAAAAAAAATGGCACCAAGCCAGCCTCGATTTTAATCGTTATCGTAAAGATTTAGTGGTTGTACTAGTTTTTTTTTTTTTTTGAATACATTTCACCCAAATTGAGACTATTCAAACCCGAAAACCTGTTCCACTAATCTCGTACCACCTAAACAAGCTTCCACTCACATTGTTTCATCTTAATCAGGCATTTCATCGTGCTGTTATACACAATCGTTTTGGAAAATATATTCAAGTTATGAAAGTGCGCTTGTAATATACAGCTTAATATAAAGGCCAAATTGCTGTTTTCCCTCTAATAAAAGCTCTTCCCGTTTTAATAAACACGTGTAATGTTTATCAAATAATTATTACAAGTAAACTTTATGCTAGTCAAATTTGTTGTAGTTATTACAAACGAAATTAGCTTACGCTTTTTGCAATTTAAATAATTCAGCTATATATAAACATCTACGATATACTTAAAGGTTTTATTATATAAACATTGTTGCATTATAATCCACTAATCCAGTCATCGCGTAATAAACTTTTAAGAACTGCATTTGAATATTGCTAAGTCACTGAAAGATCCGATCAACAAGAGAACAATTTGCAAAAAACAATATTGCTCTTGTGTCCAGTTTGTACGCATATAAGGCAATTCCAATAAGGTTTCCCTTGAATCTTCGATATCCGCTCGACGTTGTTTACAAATAAGTTAAAAAGCTGATAAAGCACGGGAGTTAGAGAAGAAGGCGTCTTATGACAAAGTTTCACTTCGAGTAAAAAAAACTTTTTGAATTATTGAATTCTAAGTTTGAAGCTAATGTGGTAAGCTGAAGCTTTTAATACTTAACATTACTGACAACTTTTGTATGTTATTCTAAAAGCTTGACTAATGCGCGTCGTCCCTTTAAAAAAATGAAAAACCACAGCTGCACAAGACGTTCGCAAAACGCAATAACAAAATAAATGTTTCTTTATTTTCCAACAGGAAATTACACATTTTTGTTATTTTGGCCTTGGAACGTGCTTCAAATACCCAATCACTATAATACTTAAAGCACATAATATGAGGGCTTTCTATGAAACTTCAGATAATTGAGGCTTGGAGGAGATCAATTAGTTGTATAGAGCTTTTTTTGCAATTTTGTTTTTCCGAAAAATAGTATTGCAAATATCCGGAAGAAAATCAGCGGAAGTGAATCTCACAAGAGACTCGTAAAGATGATTAATGCAAATGTGAATATCGAGGAACATAACATCCGACATGGCAAATGGCTTTATTACACCGTAGATTATTTGAATGGAAATGTAGCAAGCGTCGAATGTACATTATTCAAATAAATATATAATTTTTGCTGAAACGTCGGGGCTGTTCCTTTAGGTAAATGTTGAAGTTTTCTGATATGTTTAAAAAGGGTTTGGTTTGTTCTTGAGAAGTGGTTAGAGAGCGTCTGCTAGTTTTGTGGTAACTTCTCGGGTACGTTACCTGGTTCATGTATGAGCGGACAAACTCCATGGACTGCTCGAGAGCGTAAGTATCGCTGCTGCAGGAATCGATGACGAGTGCACCGAGAGTGACATTTGGGAGTAAGTCGGGGCTAGAGTTGATTTCATCGATAGCGTAGAGCATAGCCTCGAGGCGTTGCATGCCTTTCTCCTCTTTGACGGCGCCGCAGGGCATATCAGAGCGTCCGGGGACCTGCTCATGCATGGGGAAGATGCCGCCGAGGATGATGTCGCCTCTGATCCGGATGAGTTTCCGGTCAGCATCAAGGTCCGCGCGGGCCGCGGCCACCAGCAGGAGGAGCAAGATCGGCCCCATGAGTGCCCCGACACCCACCAATTTAAGCACCAATTAGGCCGGGATCGATATTAAATCGCAATCAAGTTTTAATTAATTGTTCAGTTAAGCGGAACACTTGGAGATGGTCTCATGGTGGGTCCACACGCGCAAAGTGCGCAAGAGTCCAGACTCAGATTTGGCGGCGCAGCGCGCTCATCTTAGTGCTCCTCGACGGAAACTTGCGCTAGACTGGATTTCCCTCTATGGAGGATTGGATATATAGGGGTTGGCTGGCACCTGCGTGAAGCAGCCCGTTGTCATAGAGATGGAACTAGAGCCGCGACGCCGGCGGCCGTCGGACGCTGCTCTGCATCCAGGACTCTGGTGCCGACGAAGGTCACCGGCTAAGAGCCACATTTCCGCCAACAGATTGATTCATCGCCACCTCCAGACACGAAGACTCCACCTCAATTTCTTCAGACACGCGATACACACTACAACTCCACACTCAATTCTTAACTTCACTTCTCCAATAACACTACTTCAACATTACGATTATTCCGATTATTGCACTTACTTCAACAGGCTACGCTTGGCAAAGTATCAACATAACATTTTAAACTAACTTAGATAAAACACATAAAAAATTATATACTTTATCTTTAATTTTTTAATAAGAATATAAATGTGTTAGTGAGAACAAACCACAAAATTACTATTTCAGCTAAATTTACTCTAAAACATCTGTAAATGTTTATAATATTAAATCTACACTATTGTGTAATGTTTTAATAGCTAAATAAATAATAAATAAACACTGTTTTGTGCATTTTAGAACATAAAAATAAATGTTTTTTCCATTTATTTTTAAATAAACATTCTCTTCCATTTTTTTCAATTTTTAGGATGTAATTTCGAAAATAATCTACTAATTTACTAGTAATTCACTAATTCACACTATTTCATTTCATGCTTTTGTCCTGTTTTATTTTATAAATATAGATAGATTATTTTTAGTCTTTATTTCGCCCTCTGCGTAATTATATAATTTCAGTTGTTTATTAAAATATTCAGTTAGTAATTTCGACCTACTCAATCCGAAATCCGAAATTTTATACTTCACCGTTTAGCTATTTATTAAAAACAAATGATGGCAACAAATTGAATGTAAAGCTTTCTAGGAAGCGCACCAAGCTTCACAACAAATACGAGTACCAGGAAATGTAGATTGGATGATGCGCACATCCCGAAAAATTTTATTATACGTAAATTGATCTCGATTTTTGCAAAAATGAACTACGCAGAAATGAATAGAAATATTGCTGTTATTGGAACTTTTAGTTATAAATAAGAATGGATCTTTTGTTAAAAATAATAAAATAAAGTCAAACATTACAAATCAGATACATTTTGTAATAAAAAATCAATATAAATTTCTAAAAAATATAATATCGTTCTTGTCAGTTTATGCAGTTTTGGTGTTACAGTTAATTTAACATCGAGTATAATGTTCATGGTTAGCAACGACTTGCTGTCACCTACTGTTAATAATATTTTCGGAATCTCATGAGAGATTGCATTCCAAATGGTCGGTAACGCTTCTTGTAGTTCACGTGGGTTTATGGGTCGTGAATGGTGATCGGAAAAGCTCTTTTGCAACGCATCCCACCTATTCTCAATTGAGTTAAGGTCTGGTCACATTGGTGGTAAAGACAAATGTGACTCTAGTTTCTCTTCAATGTCAATAATTGTTTTGATTTATTTGATTTTTATCTTTTAGATGAGCTAAACAAAGGTTAATTAATAGTATGATTGTGAAAAAACTAAATTACATAATTAAATATCAAGCTTTTTTTAGAATATTTTTATTCATTTGTGCGTAGTTTATTTGTTTCCGTCAAGTTGTTTTTACATAATAACAATATTTTTAGTAACCAAGTATAATCAAAATTATAAGGCAGTTTTAAAGTAAAAAACATGATATAGACATTTTTATTACGTTTAATTTTGCAAACAATAAACACATTGAATAGATATTTCTAATTTTATATAATAGAAAGCTTAACTACAATACTATTTTAACTCAATACCGTATACTTTTTGTACTTGGAAAAACTTATATTGCTTAATTTAAATTTGTCTACTTTTGAAATAAGGTTGAAAATCATTTTTATGGCATGTGTTGTTTCTATAATGAGCTTTCGAAAGATAATGCTTATTTAATAACTTAAATCATAAAATTATTTAAAACATCTGGGGCTACAAACAAGTGTATGTTAAACTTGGTAATACGTGACATCTAAACGTTTTATTTAAGAGAAAGCTTCCTAATTATAATCCTTCTGAGTCTGAGTAAACACTGTGGTGGCAATAAGTGGATTTAATAATACTCTGTGAGCCTCTTAAGGAAGTCGTTTTATTTGATTTATGAAACAGCCAATAAAAATTAAAAACTTTTTATTATTAACATCAATCTTTAATTTGCAAATAGAAATGTTGTTCGTTTCAGTAAATTTCAATAAAACCAATATTTAAAACATGATACGCTTTTCAAATAATTTTGCTTTGAACTACGTTTCAGTAAATGGATCGGATTTTAATTACGGGAATATATTTATGGACCACTTCATCACTAAAAGATCTGCAATTAAAAATGCTTTTTTGGTTGCAAATATTAGTTCATAAAATGCATCGTAATAAAGGGTAGGTACTATTTACTGGATTTAATTTCTAATAATTTACGATTTTTTCTGTAGTTATAAAAATTCTAGTACGAGAAATTCATAACATTAACTAGAGTTAATTGTTAGCTTCAGACAAAGTCTGTATTGCCAATATGTAATTTCATATTACATATTCGTGTACTTAAGCTAATGCTTATATAAGATTCTAGTTCGGGAGTTTCCATATCCACAAGTTGTAAAAAAATTCAAAAGCACGCCTGAGTATTTCAGATGTATGTACATTCATAATGTAGCAGGAGCAAAAAAAAATCAATGGAGTTTTAAATCCAAGCTGGATCTGGATCAAAGGATCTTTTAAATTAAGTTTTTAAATAACTGAAACTTTATAATGGCATAATTTTATTAATAAACTGCACTATTTTTTCCATATCCACAAGTTGTAGAAAAATTCAAAAGCACGCCTGAGTGTTTCAGATGTATGTACATTCATAATGTAGCAAGAGAAAAAAAATCAATGGAGTTTTAAATCTAAGCTAGCAGATCTGGATGAAAGGATCTTTTAAATTAAGTTTTTAAATAACTAAAACTTTATAATGGCATAATTTTATTAATAAACTTCACTATTTTTGTTAACAATTGATTATTTTAACGCAGAAAATGGATTTTTCATTTGTGTCGTTTTTTAATTAATGTGGAATAACATTTGTGGAACGCTTTTGAACAGAATTTGGAGGCTTCAGAAGTATGCCTTTCGTTGTCAGTGTCATAGAATGCAAAATGGTCAGGTGGAATTCGTGGCTGCAGCGAATGCTCGTAACTTAAATCACAGTGTCCAAAACAAAGCAAACTTTGGTGGAAACACCTGCGCTAGTACTGAATTGTAATTAACTTTGAACCTACAACTGTAATCCTTACCTACACTTAGTCGACACTTCACTTTCCTCTGAATCTGAACGCCCCAAATGAAGCCTCTTTAAAATTAAACGTTGATTACTCGTTTCATTACTAATAATTGCTGTAATTAGACAAATATCCAGAGTTTTATTCAAAAGTGTTTTTTCCGATTTAAATTCCAAATGGAAAGGATTAAGCATCCCGTTTTTCGTGACGCGGCATTTCTATTACAAACGAGAATCTTAAAATAATCCAGTTTTTACCTTGAGCCGAATGAATCCAAATTTAATAACTAAACTACCTGAAGTTGTATAACCAATTTTATCATTTTTAAAGAGTCTACTTTCACGAACTCTAAAAATTAAACTGCTAAGTCCTTAGTTTCAAAGACTACTAGGAGTGCGAAAACGTTATTTTATTCAATTCTAAAGTTCTTAATCTTTCCGGTTTTTTCAAAATGTTGATCTATTCTCAGTTTCTCGCCAGTAAATTGATAATTCTTGCACTGAGAAAAATAAATAGTAACAGCTAAATGATAGATTAGTTTGACTAAGAAAAGTTTAATACTAATCCATGTATGTTCTCAAGCAATAACCAACATTGGAAAATAACATGTCGGGTTTTCCATTAAGTTATTGATTTATTTTTATTGAACATAATATTCTTTACGGTATTGTTATTTAGTATGTAAACTATAGATCGTAATAAATAAGTAATAATTTAATAGTTATAATAAATCTATTTAAATTTTCGTTTAGTCAATAATGGTATTTTCTTTACATGATAACCAATGGAAACGATTATTCAACAACAGTTTATTCTTTTTTAACCACCATAAAGATCTTAACATATAACAAACGGAACTTCAAATGTAAATACGTAAATATTACTTGGAAAAATTGAGCGSGTCATGTCAGTGCGCATGCTCACCACAACATGCAGTTGCACGTTGTGTGTGGTGAATGTGCTCCAACTTTGTTCGAACGAATCTTTACATGAACGAATAGTTTAATGGTCATTTGTTTTTTCTGTTGTATTTGTGTTTGTGTTTTGAGGAGTGCAGGAGTACGGTTGACTAAAAGTGCCAAAAGCGGCTTAAGCAGTGGCATTTTGTAACACTGCTACAAAAATTTGAAGGTTAGTATAATGATATTTACAATCGCCGGATCAGCCACCACCAGAAATTTTTAATTGCAACATGCTCTGCGTATTAAGATAAAAATATTTTTATGAGCAATAGATTCGAGCAGTGGCTGATTTGGACTGTTGCAAACTACATTCTCCATAAAGTTATTTCAACTGCAATAATTTCATTTTGTAAATTATGCAGTATGTTGTCGATAAAAACTTTTGGTAAATATTAAGCAATTATATTTAATGTTAAACTGATGGAATCTAACTATCTACTTCTTGGTTTTTCTTATTCAGATGAAGGAATGTCATATGATATTTTGCTGGATCTTGTTCAGAGTTTCCTTCCCCAGCTGGTGCCAAAATTTGATGACCAATTCAAATTGATGCGGCATATTAAAGAGTACAAATCTGCATCTTTGGTAAGTTTTTCAATTTTAAAGTCTATTTTTTTATTTATGAGTGTTAATGCAGTGATTGACATCCTGGCATCCCCGTCCCCGTGCAGTACTAAATACATAATTTGTACTTAATGATGTTTTAAATGTTTATTATTTTTCTTAATAAATTGTTCTAAATAATATATGTACAGTTTTATTTTTTTGTTAGGTTTATATATCTGCTGGTGGCTATACTGATTAGCAATCCGGTATATTTTTACCTAAAAAATATTTTTCTATTTAAGATATACTTCTTAACTATCAAGAACACATCTTTTAATATCTAATGCGAGATTATTAATCTTTAATGATCCTTGTTTCTTGTTAATAAATATTTCTTATTATTAACACTGCAATGATAATATTAAAGTAGATGTTAAGTTTTTATAAAATCAGAATCACTTAAAAACTAAGAAATGCTATGTTTGGAAATTCCTAACAAATTATTTCTTCTCTGATAACAATAGTTTCTTCCGCCGTATTCTAAAAAATTATTAGTTTACATTTAAGCTAAATCTTTAACTAGTAAAAAACTGTTCTCTCAGTGTGTAAATATTGGTCAAAAAACTTTTTGTTTAGTACCGGTCTGCGGTACTTTTTACTTAACATCTTATGAAAAAAGATAATCGCTCTGTGTTTGACATTATAACAATTTCAGTTTWAGTAATCTCGCAGTATTTTTTTTTAATTGTTGTTATACTTATTGGACATTAATCCAAAGAATCTATTAAATATTCTAAATAKTAATCGTTACCATATGGTCGTATTTCTGAAAATCTATATTCGATATTGAATGGCAAAATTTTATAACTACAATAAAATGTGCGAAGTTAATAGGA